TCTTCCAGCCTTGACATACAGTTAAGGGGACCAGCTAACATAACGTGACTGACACAGCTGGCTCAGCAACGCCACACACACACACACACACACATTAGGAGGAAAGCCATTGCACAGATTCCCGAGGTACACATTCAGCTATTACGCAACCGCTATTAAAGTATGTTATGTGACATGACATGTATGGTGACTGCACTGTAAATAAAGTTAGGCCCACATTTTAATGTGAAATACGAGCTTGTGCTTTCAAACATCTGTAATGTATCATTAAATCTCCCCAAAACGTGAAACTGGGCTGGAATTAACAAATGAGAAATGTCTTCACCTCATTTAGTTGACAGGGACACAGCACATTACTCAATTGTTTTTGATCTCACAGTGTAAAATTGCCAGTTAGGCCTAGCTATGAAGCTATTTTTCTTCAGTATTCCCTGGCCAGGCTAAAACAGATTAAACGAGATAGCGTCAACAACAATTCAATACAAACTTACAACATGAGAAGGATGAGTTTATTTTTTAAAAACGGACAATAAGGAACTGCAATGGCCTAGTAGGCAAATTCCTTTTTTGAACCATCAGTTTCGCTTCCAAAAATAGTGATAAGAAAAGTGATTTCAAAGAGAGCCAATACACTATCACCAACATTTCAGAGATGAGCCGAACCTCTACAAACCTCATTATTTCCGGAGCCCTCAACAGAAGAGAACACATGCAGAAAAGGTTTAATCAAGTGGGTTTCTGGCACTGTCGGATGAAGGGATTTGGAATCAGTCCACAGTGTTGACAGCAGAGAAAAATAGCAAGAGGAGAAAACCTAGACTGTGTATTCAAATTCAGCTATATGAAATGTTCCCATCTGGCCATTGCAGAGGACTGTGAACATTGCAGCACCACCATCATACATAACCTTTTTGTATCTTTCTGAATAGACTAGAGTATAGGTAACCTAGGCTATACCTCAAAGTAGACCTATAGGATCATGACCTGGGTAGAAATCGGATCAGGCAGGCAAGTATTGCATACAGTTATTAGAAAATAAGACAAACGGAAGAAAACAGTGAGTTTTCTTTCCAAATCCTTGAATGCATTCTTCAGATTTATTTCCAAGATAGTAGCTAGCTAAACTATACCTGCCAAATTGTACACACTACAGGGCAACATCACAGGCAGTTAGTGGTGCACGACTCCAAGCTTTTTGGACTCGACTCTGACTCCTGTGGTTGGAGTCGTAGGAGTCGACTCTTGCTCGACTCCCAAAATACACAAACACCACCTCATTATTGCAGTCTAACTAGGAAGACTACATTTGCGTTCTAGAGGACTGACATGAGCATGATGCTGCCCATTTGCTCATCAATTTCACCTATAAAAGGCCTAAGTGTTGTGTTGGAACTAGAATACATCTGCTGTGCGCAACCTTGACGGATCCCATGGGATGACGCCGGGCAATCTACGCTGATAAACCTATTATTTGCCATGTTATAGCCCTATTCGGACGGGTATTACTAGTGACGTTGGTTTTGTAATTATTATCCAAGCATGTGCGTTATTCCAGAGGACGATACACACAGGCTTCGTTTTTCCAAACTGCCCCCTGTAATTCTTATTTTTTTCTAATTTAATTGACTCTTATAACGATAGCCTGGTGGTTTTTATTGTAGGCATGAATATATTTCAACGTCATGTCTTGACGATAATAGGCTACAGGGATAACTGCCAAATGTATAGGTATCCCCATAACATTTAAATTGATTAATTGTGACGTACTTCCTAATAACAATGCCCCCCATGCTGCTGACTTGAGCTCATGAATCGTATTTGCACTTGACTATGTTTATGGATTAAACAAATGAATTTGCCATTTCCAAAAAGTTTAGCGGGGATGCTGCTTTGCAATCTATTGCCTAGGACAGGGCTCTCCAACCCTGTTCGTGTGTAGAGCTACCATCCTGTAGGTTTTCACTCCAAACCTAATCTAGCGCATCTGATTAAATAATTAGCTGGTTGATCAACTGAATCAGGTTAGTTACAACTGGAGTTGGAGCGAAAACCAACAGGAAGGTAGCTCTCCAGGAACAGGGTTGGAGAGCCCTGACCTAGGACATCAACAGCCAGGGTTTCATTAAATAAACTATAGGCACAATAGTTTTTATTGCACATTTAGGGCTAATTAAACTGATGCATTTGGCGATGTTCAACTTCAATTCACTGGCACCATGAAGAATAGTTTAGCCATACTCATTGATAGCCTAATATATAATTTTGGTTAATTTACGAGGCATTGCTAGACAATACATTGCTAGATACAGATTACCAAAATATGGCCTATACGCACGGTTCTGACTGCCCCGATCCTCTTTCCCTCACTGGCTCGCCTGCTCCTCTTTCTCTTCGTTATGAAAAACGCTAGTGTGTGTTTGGACTTCGGTCTGTTGCGTGTAGAATAGCTCAGCCTACTCATTGATAACCCCTACTTTAGTGAACTTGCGCGAGACATTGCAAGCCAATAACTGGCGAAATACAGCATTGCGATAGCCTCCATCTTCTGGTTACCGATGCACGGTTCTGACCGTCTGCCTGGTGGCGGACACGCCTACTCATGTCTGGCTGTGCCCCCTCCCATCTCTCTCTCTCTCTCTCTCGCTAGTTTGCTCTTTCTTTGCTGTTAAAGATGCAAGACTTTGTGTTCTCGAAGTAGACTACGGCAAATAGTTTCCTAAATTGCAAAAATACTGAATATTAGGAGTCGATTCCTAGCAGAATCGAAGCTTGACACCCAGAAATGATAGTCGACTGACAAGGAGTCGAGGAATCGATTATTTTGGAGTCGACTTCCCACCACTACAGGCAGTGCCAGTGGCACGCTTCTTCATCAAGGTATGGTCGGATGCTTGCTAGCATCCCTAGCATTCTCTAGCTTCCCATCCAAGCTAATGTCAAAGTTAAACATTTGAAAAAATACTTATTTTCACCCTGTATGAAGTTAAATTGATGTGGCATTCAGTGAGTTACCTTGCTGCTAGCTGTAATCTCAATGACAGTCAGCCTAACCTGCTAGCTAGCTGAGTCAGCTAGCTAGCAGGTTAGCATAACTTGCTTACATTCCTTGCATGGCTAGCTAGTAATGTTACCTGGCTAAAAGAAGATGAACCACAGAACCACAGCCACGTCTGGAACTGCATCAATACAGCTAGCTAATACAATGCCAGATATAGCTTTACTCAATACAAATATTTAGTTACCGAAGTCGCTATCCATTCCATAGCTAACTCCAATGACAGTGTCCGCATCCTCGGATGCTGTGGCCCCGGAAAAAGGACTCGCTTCCCTGGCCTCTGACAGCCCAACCGCTCCCTCAGCTGCTGGCAGTGCTGCTTCCATTCAGACTCCCGGAGAAAGGGCGAGCCCTCCGAATGAATGACCAACAGCGATGGCGCGATTCGTAGAAAAATAACTGTTGTTATTCAACGTCCTACAGCTAAACTATAATATGAAATTAAAACAAGAAATTCAGTGTGATATCCGTTATGGTCCAAGACCTGCATCCGTGCAGTTGTTATCAGCGCTTCGGCGGCACAGGTCCTCTCGGTTCGACTGCACTTGCTGCTGTCGCTGGCAGATGCTGTGCATTCTGTCTCCCTCCGACTGATTATTGAAGAACTGCTGCCATTGGCTTGACTGTACGTCACGTATTCCCCTGTGCAAGGCAAGTATAAATGAAATATGGCTACAATAAACAAAATTAACTGCTTTGATTGAATCCTTCCTTTTTTAATTGACGAACAACACATGTTTTATCCTCAAAAAGGGTGGCTAGCTACCTAGCTTGACTCCTGTCCATGACCTTTCAAAATGGATGATGACCAAATCTATTGATGCATGTATTCTGCACAAAGATGGTATACTCTCAGACTAGCATATTTATTGGTCCCCATCAACAAAAGCCAGGGATTGCCTTTGATATCTGAAATCCGTGGCACCTTGATGAGGCACTGCTCCTCTTCCATCATTGAAAAAGCTCAGGTTGCAGAATGACTGACAAGCACCTACAGAGGCTTGTAGGCTTCTGCTCTTCTTGGTAGGAGAGTTAAAAGGAAAATAGCATTTGTGGTATTATAGATTGGCTGAGCATTGTAGGGACGAAGGGACCCTGAGTCAACCTTTGTTATTTTGTCAACTATCAGGTCCTCAAATGTATTCTGGTCGGCAAAGGGCTCTTCTTAACGTAATCAACTAAAATAATAGCTGTTGTTGTGAATGGCAATGTGAACTGCATTTCTAACAACTAACCTGACCTGTCCATCTACAGAACTTGATTAAATCTGACTGGGTTTAATGTAGATTATTAATCAAATGCAGATTCATCATGAGTGTTCATTTGAAATTATAAACCGGGTCGTTCGAGCCCTGAATGCTGGTTGGCTGAAAGCCATGGTATATCAGACTGTATACCACGGGTATGACAAAAAAATAATTTTTACTATTCTAATTACATTGGTAACCAGTTTGTAAAAGCATTAAGGCACCTCAGGGGTTTGTGGTATATGGGCAATATACCACAGCTAGGGGCTGTATCCAGCCCACACCACCTCGGGCCTTATTGCTTAAGTATGAACTCAGTGGCCAACAGTCTGTCAACAGAGCAAAGGGACTCTATGGTAGTACCATTTTGCTCTCAAATACAGTAGAGGGCAGGGTAACGACATTTCAGCAGAACAATTTCACAAATTCAATTTCAGGCACTACCACTCATATGAAGGAATGCTCTCAGGTGACTATCTCCTTTTTAGGTAATCAGTAACTTTAACTTCTTGTTGCATCACATGGAACAACCTTGTCCACATCATCAACTCCTGGCAAAACATCAGCATAGCAAAACAAGTTAGTAACAGGAACGATGGTTTTATTACTGTTCTACTTGTGTAGTATGTGATGGGAATTCAAAACAAGAAACAGAAAGATGTATTCCCCATTGACAATAAACACACTTGACAACAGAATTAGCACAAAAGAGTTCAGTTTATTATTTTCATATTTTTTATTATGCACATTCAGTTTTAAGTATTCAAAGGGAACAGTTGTAGAGGTCAGGGTTCCTCTCCAGTGTAATGGATTGGGTATAGGGGGTCCTCCCAAGGGGATGCACGCCATTTTCATCAGGTCTGTCCTGTCCGTTAGGCGGGTTTGCGGACAGACCGTCACTGGTCTGGGGAATGGACCCACTAACACCCATTGGCCCACCGGATGGAGTATCAGTGCATTAGTCAGTCAGTCAGTCATGGAAGAATTACAGGTACTTAGGAAGATCCTTCTCCACCACCTGAAATGAAGGAGAAGAAATAGGTGTGATGAATTGCATCCATGTCTCTTTTTTTTTGTGAACAATGATTTATTCTTTTTTTTTGCATGTCCTAGACAATTACAGTTTGAAGATACAATACTTGCAAATATGTACAGTTCAATAGGGAGAAAATAAAAAAACACCATACAAATGAAAAAGGACAAAACCAAACAAAACCAAATATGCCAGTATGAAAAAAAAAAAAATATATATATATATATAATGTATGCACTCACTAACTGTAAGTCGCTCTGGTTAAGAGTGTCTGCTAAATGACTTAAATGTAAATGTAAATAGGTTTCAGTATTCCCAAATTCAATCGGTCTATTCAAATTTTAATCTCAAAGGCTACCAACCCAGAGCCACATAGGAATATAAAAAATAGACAAGAGCAGGGCAATCCCATCCGCAAGACCAAACGTTGTTGTTAAATTAGGTCTTGGGGCTCTGTCGTAGCCGGCCGCGACCGGGAGACCCATGGGGCGGCGCACAATTGGCCCAGCGTCGTCCAGGGTAGGGGAGGGAATGGCCGGCAGGGGATGTAGCTCAGTTGGTAGAGCATGGCGTTTGCAACGCCAGGGTTGTGGGTTCGATAAAATAATGTATGCGCTAACTGTAAGTCGCTCTGGATAAGAGCGTCTGCTAAATGACTAAAATGTAAATGTATGTAAATGTCTTGCAAGTGGGAGACAGCATATTACCAATTTACCAGAGTTTCGGGCTTGGCCCCACGCAGTCTGGCAGTGGATCTTTCCAGCTGCGCAATGTCCTAGTCTAGTACATAAGCAACCAAAATCTGCAAAGGGTAATAGCCGGTTCAAACTAACTCCTTAGAATTGTTTTTTTGCCTGCTGTTAATGCAGCCATAACAATCTGCCTCTCTTGATAAGATAAGGAAATGCTAGGGCTACAATCCAGCAGGAGGGGGGATGGGCAAACAGGTAGGCCCCTGCCAAGAATACCATTTAAAACACTTGAACCCAAAGAGACTTTACCGGTAGGTACACAGCTCCAAAGCGTATGCATATAATTGCCCACCTCAGTTTGGGTACATTTATTACACAAGCTTCATTTTTAACCTTCACTCAGGGGTAAAATAAAACCTTTGAGCAAATTTAAAATGATTAAGTTGAAGGGCAAGGCTCTTAGAATAGGAAAAAATATTGTCCCATATTGTGGTCCAATCCCATTTAAACCCTGAACTTTGCAGGTCCTTCTCCCAGACCTCCATAACAGGTAAATGTTTTATATTATGAGTCACTAGCCTATCATATAGTGAGGACACCATTCCGGCATCCATGTCTTTTAGTTGTTTTTCAGTTATGTTTCTCTCCTTATATGGATTTAATATAATTGTATTTAATTTGTTAGGTAAGAGCCATGACAGTAGCCAGCTATAGACAGTTGTAGTCTATTGGATTTCCCGTTCAGTAGCGACACTGTATGAGAGATATAACATATCTGAGCAGCCGTTAAAGAAAGCCTGCCCTATAACAGTAATCCTTCTACCCCCCCTCCCCCACCAAAAAAAAAGGGAGTGGTTGTCCCACTGGCTATCCTAAGTTGAATGCACCAATTTGTAAGTCGCTCTGGATAAGAGCATCTGCTAAATGACTTATATGTAAATATTCACATTTTCTGTGTGCTTGATAGAGAATTGCTGCAACCCCCCCCCCCCCCCCCAATTTTACGGGCTTGTGATCACATAAAAAGGTTTCCAGGAAGCATTTACAAATGGTGGATAATGCATCATTTCAGTGGCAAAGTCACAAGGCAGAATGATAGAGAGGGTTATTCCAGGCCAGGCCTGAGGTTATGGCTGAGTGCTGCTACATCACATGGACATGTCAGTGAGCCCATCATAGGCCTGTGCTGTAATTACAGTCATTGACTTACGCTGGGATCATCCATTGGTCCATATCTCTTCATAACCTGGCCCTCTCGGTTGATCAGGAACTACAAAGACAGAGAAAAGGAACTGAGTGATGTACATTGAAACTCATTCTGCATTAAAGATTCAGTCCGGGATCTTAAGCATTTACAAATTCATAACATATTGTATTGCAAAAAAACATTTTATAAATAAAAACACGTGTAACATGTCATGCAAAATGGATGACGTAGTGCACCATTTTCGGGGACCCGTTTTGGCTCATGAGCACTACCTTCAAAACTACTGGCTGAAATTATACAAAAGCTCTGGAGCATCACTTTAAACTTCCATTATCTAACAGCAAAATCTGATAATAGTCTAGGTGTTTTGTTTTCAATTCGTTAACCCCACAACTCCCCAACTCATAAATGCAGAAAATATACTTCCATTTAAGTATGTATTTTTAAAACTGCATTGTATTTAAGTCCCCTGTAGCTCAGTTATTAGAGCATGGCGCTTGCAACGCCAGGGTTGTGGGTTCGTTTCCCACGGGGGGCCAGTATGAAAATGTATGCACTCACTAACTGTAAGTCGCTCTGGATAAGAGCGTCTGCTAAATGACTAAAATGTAAAATGTAAATGTATTTGTATGACCCTGGGCCAAGAAAGACCATAATAATAAGACTACCATTTTTATTTTATTTTGTTAACAGAGGCTATAACATTGAACTCAATGGGCATGCAATGAGCAACCTTTGCTTTCACCAGAGATAAACTCTTGGCACATAACTCTGGGTAACTCAGAGCTGTGTCAACTTTCTGCTGATGGGGATATCTGATGATGACTAATAAGAAATATTTACCTTTGTGAAATTCCATTTGATGCCACTGTTGGGAAGAAAACAAGATCATAAGATAAAGCAATCATTAACACAGTAACAATAACCAAACTCATACATGTTACATTTAAAATATCTGCTTATATACGGTATATAAGCCATTATCAAATACTTTACTGAGCATTAGTAAGCAGTTTGTAAATAATTTGATATAATGTATTTAAAGTATTAACATATTTTATATTTGTGGCCAACAAAAATGATATGTGAGTCTAATCACTCTAGTTGTGACACGTCTCTCCAAAACGTCTCCACTTACTTTCCCAGGAAGCCTTTCCCGTTGGGCTGCTCCTTCAGCCACTTCCACAGGGGGTGGGCGTTATCCCCGTTCACATCAATCTTACTGAACATTGGGAACTCAGCATTGTACGACTTGGCAAAGTCCTTGATCTGAGCTTCAGTGCCAGGTTCCTAAAATGGACACATAAGACACATGTAATAAAATGCCCATAGAAGAAATGCTTTAGGTGACAAAAAAACATTGATGAAGAGAGATGTAGCTACCTGACTCCCGAACTGGTTGGAGGGGAAGGCCAGGATGCGTAAACCTTTCTCAGCGTACTTCGCGTGCATCTCCGCAAACTGAGAATAGTTTACTGGGGTTTTCCCTCATTTAGAGGCAACGTTGACAATGATGACAACATCTCCCCTACACAAACACATTAAAACACAGGAAAGAACAGGCTTTTGGAAGGGGTATGGTAAAATGATATATAACATGATTGTGGTTATTTAGTATTTGGAAGTGCTGAGTAACTTATTTTTTCACCCACTCACCTGTATTTCTCGAGGGACACCTCATTGCCATCAATATCCTTTGCAGAGAAGTCATAAATAGACGTGGCTGTCTGCCAGTCCTCTGTCGGGGCAGACTGCGAGAGGAGAGAAAGAAAGAGAGTAAGTCCAAACGAACCTGTACCGCACGTTGACTCGGTACCGGTACCCCTGGATATAGCCTAATTATTGTTGTTCTATTGTTGTAACCTTTTTTTACTTTAATTTATTTAGTAAATATTTTCTTAAAACTGCATTGTTGGTTAAGGGCTTGTAAGTAAGCATAAGTAAGGTAAGGTCTACACCTGTTGTATTCGGCGCATGTGACAAATACAATTTGATTTGATTTGCTACTAGCGCGTAAGTACCTGGCTGGAGTGCGTGCAGGCACACACGTGTGCTCACCCACACTCACTGTAAAGAAAAACTCAGCAAACCTCTATCTCTCTCAGAGTGATCATCATCATTCAAATAAAATGCCTTTGCTCTCATCCATTCTACACGGAAATCCACGGAATAACATCTTTTGAAAATGTGTTTGAATGACAGAAAAGCAGCAATTGATATGTGTTAAAAAGTTACTGATTACAAGGGTGTATTTTCCCCTCCAACAATAAACACACTATATGCACTTGGCATACATCCTCAGACAGAAAGATTCAACAGCCGATGTAAACATAAGAAAACCTGCCATAGCCAATATCTCCAAAACATTTGAATCAAAGTGAAGTGTTGATTCACCATTTCTCAGTGATCTTACCAAAGTCTGCAGCAAGACAGAGAAAAGGACAGCAGACCCTAGTAGACGCATGACTGCCTTTCAGTAAGGTCCACTGAAAAGGCAGAACGCCTATGTGACAGTATTCCTGTGATTTGACCACACAGTCTTCTGTCCCACACACCTTTGACTGACTGAGCCTTTTGGTACAGTACACGCTCTAATCCCCCAATTTATTCAACTCTGACAATCAATAACTAGGAAGATATGGCATTCTTCTCTGATAGCATGCTTTTATGCTGACCACTGACAAGCAAAGGATGATAACACCTACACAGGCTGGTCCTCATTACATACCAATAGATAGTGTTATCTCTTCCTAGAAGTGACACATTAAAGTGTGACATGCACAGGACAAAGGTAACCTCATCTTTGGCAACTGACCTTGCTAAACGCAAAAGGTTACATTAGTCAAAAAGTACAGAACACAGTAGTACTTCTCTCTGACTAAATGAACAGTAACATTTCACATCAACAATAACATTTTAAAAAGGATGGAGCAAAAGTATCACTATGGTCCAAAAACCCACTATTTCACCAAACAACAACTATGCAATGACCTTATATTTGTGACCTTTGTCTGGATATCCCATCAACTCTAGATGAACCTTCACTTGACTAAGGCGTGCAATAAACATGCAACAAAACCATTTCTGTTTGTGATGTGTGATAGAGATGTTCAATTACAGTAGGCTATTCATACTGTAAGTCTCTCATCAAATGACTCACACAAGAGAGCCTAATCATTCTGCAGAGCACGTAAACAAGGGTTGCATGAAGCCAAAGTCTCAGTTGGGCAACCAGATTAAAATCAAAAGTTATTTCCTATTTCAGCGGTTCTTTATTCCATCAAATGTCATATCAACATCATCATATGGTATAGAATAGATGCAACAGATGTGCATGGAGACTCATGTTTACATTTTCTAAGAGAGAGAGAGGATCTGAGAGTATCAATATTTTAATTTGAGGGCAGTGGTGCATGACAGTGGTTGGGCAACTGCATTGATTCAGTATATATTATTTCACCATTCTGATAAAGTGCAGCAGGAAGAAAATATGAACCCTTCACCCGGTTTAAACTTTACCACTCACTGATGTCATCTTACAAACACAACAAGGTAAATTATAAGCCTACTCACTGATAATATTGATAAGAGGGAGCAGGGAGGTCCTGACTTGTAATACCAGATAGCCTACCCTATGTGTACCCCCCAGATACCAAATAAATATCTAAACTGAAAACCAGCGGGATGATACTCATGTGTCCATAATTTTTCTGACATCCAGACACTAACTTTTAACACCCTGTATTTACACGGCTTTTTCACAGACATCAAGTGAAGAGTGCATCATGCAGAGTAGTATAATTACATATTATAAACTGGGTGGTTCAAGCCCTGAATGCTAATTGGCTGACAGCCGTGGTATATTTACATTTACGTCATTTAGCATATCAGACCATATAACACGTGTATGACAAAACATTTATTTTTACTGCTCTAATTACGTTGGTAACCAGTTTATAATATCAGTAAGGCACCTCGGAGGTTTGTGGTATATGGCCAATATACCAAGGCTAAGGGCTGTGTCCAGACACTCCGCGTTGCGTCGTGGTAACATATACCACACCAAATACTGGACATATACCACACCTCCTCGGCCTTATTGCTTAAATAAAACACACAAACATAGTTAAATTGTCCTAATTATATGCACTGCAAGTTAGGCCACTTTGCTATAGATAGCAGGTTATCAGCACACACCAGAAGGGCAATGGAAGGAATGGTTTCATCCTATGTAACAGTCAACAACACAACAATTAAGTCTGCATATGGCTATAGTACCGTATACAGTAGCCTACCATTGTGAACAAATACAATCCCATCGCAAGAACGAGTCCACAGCTTGCCAATGTCCCAAATACCAAGACACGCTTTTTTTGCCACATTTTAAAACAACGACATTGAATTGTGTAAACTCCGTCTGCAGGGTTTGTTGTGAAACGTACTGCGTACTCAAATCTTTTGTGGGGTGTTTGAGCCTCCAGGGGGCGTGCCATAACTATACTTGATAATTTGCATGTTTTTCTCCCACTGAGCTAACTCCTACAGTCGTTTGGTTTTTCTACATGTGCTAAGACATAGAATATTTATATTTGAAGAGGGTTAAATACAAGTGCAATTCTCATGACTGGTTAGATCAGTCAACAACATTTAATTCAGTGTTGGAAAATATTCGGTGACATCATCATTGCGCGCGCTCCCAATAACAACGCGTAACTGCAACGTGAGTTAGCATTAGCTAGTGAGAAGTACCCTACATTTATTGATATACCGCATACTGCACTGATAATTAAATAAATACATCGGATCGAAACGCAATGGATGACGATGAGGAAACATATAGGCTATGGAAAATTCGGAAAACCATCATGCAGGTGGGTTACTGAGATGAGTTGTTTGCTAGCTAACGTTAGCTGTATCAACTTTAGTAGTAGCTAGCTAACTATCGGTAGTTGTAATCAAGATATGATACCCAAAGGGAAGCTGTTTTCACTAGGTATAGTTTAATGCTGAATGGTGTAATGGAGTATGAATGACCATTGCCCTTATCATGACTCCAATTAGCTATAGTTTTAGCGCATAGAGAATGATAAAGGCCTCTAGTGGCCAAAAGGCTGTATTAGCATGGGCAGCGCCATTGAGGGCTTCCACCATTTTAATGTCAACTGGGTGAGACTTTCAACTTCATTGGCTGATCCCTCCTGGTGACCCAATTGGAGTCATGTCCAACCGGGTCATCAGGAGGGACCAGCCAATCTTGAAGAACAACATTGACCACTTCAAAATGGAACAGATACAAATATGAGTCCTCTATCTATCTCTATGGCTATGCTTCATGATTCAATGGATCCAGTATATAAATGACCTGTCTTGTTGCCACATTACATGGAAAGGGTCATTGTACAACTCTCTCCTTGTTGGTCAGCTGTGTCATGACCGAGGCTACCTGGTGACCCAAGATGAGTTGGACCAGACCTTGGATGAGTTTAAAAGTCAGTTCGGGGACAAACCCAGTGAGGGTCGCCCACGACGGACAGATCTCACCGTCCTGGTAGCACACAATGATGACCCCACGGACCAGATGTTTGTTTTCTTTCCTGGTATGTTATTGACAATGTAGCCAATGAGGCCCTAGTGACCATGTTGACAGTCATTTTTGATACGAAAATATTAACCTGGCAAATTAAAAAGAAGTCAGCACCTGTCAGTTTGTTGTAGTCCTGTAACTGTTATAACAATATTGAGTCCCTTCATTTTCACCCATGCAGAGGAGCCTAAAGTTGGTATCAAGACCATCAAGATGTACTGCCAGCGGATGCAGGAGGAGAACATCACACGTGCCTGCATTGTAGTTCAGATGGGAATGACACCTTCAGCTAAGCAGGTGAGGTTTGTGGAGATGAGAGCTTGCTTTTTCAAGCTACTATGATGTTGAAGTTTTCTTTACAAACAGTTTTTCATTTGTGGTCTTATATATTTTTTCCATATCAAATTTTAGTCTCTAGTTGATATGGCCCCCAAATACATCCTGGAACAGTTTCTGCAGCAGGAGCTTCTAATAAACATCACTGAGCATGAGGTAAGCAGATGGAAAGTTATGTTGCAATAGCATTACTAAGATTTGATAGCTTAGTATGAAAAATTGTAGTCATATCATAAGACCTTTGAACTGCTGTGTGGCACACTTAACTAATCTGATTGTCATGTATTTCTTCCTTTTGTTGCAGCTAGTTCCTGAACACATAGTCATGACAAAAGAGGAACTGTCTGAATTGCTGTTACGATAGTATCCTTTTTCACAACATGGATTTCAAACTTGTACCTGGATCGAGTATAAATCTTCAGGTCTATGGACTGGATTCACATGCATAGCCAACCCAAATGATCCCATTTTTTAGATAAACAAGTTAATTATTCACGTAGATGAATTAGAAATGATATTTTTTCAAATAATCTATTGATCTAACACTAGATTATGTTATATAGAGATACTTGTGTGTTGGGATTCCTTTATTTGTCTCTCAGTAAACTGAAGGAGAGCCAGCTGCCTAGGATCCAACAAGGAGATCCTGTGGCCCGGTACTTTGGATTGAAAAGAGGCCAGGTACAAGATCGGTCTCCTTGACCTAATGTGGTTAGACATTTTCTGAAATGACTGTCATGATGTTAAGTGATTTACTAGGCTCTCGTTCTTCTTTGCTGTGACAGGTAGTAAAGATAATCAGACCCAGTGAGACTGCTGGACGATACATCACCTACAGGCTGGTCCAGTGAGGATTTCAATGTGAGTGCTTGGTGAATATCTTGATTGCCATGTTAGGGCTGTTTCCTAAGCAGCATCTCTATATTGTTAATTATTTTTCAAATGGGCATTTTTGTGCATTTGAGAATGGTAATTCTGATACTACTCTTGTTCCTTTAGGTATGTTGCTGTACTGTCTAAGGAACAGTGGGTGAGCCAATAAAACTCAATTCACTCATGGATTATTCTACAGATGGCCTCATCTCTTTGGATTAAGTTTGGCCTTTGTTCCCCTTTGTTCAATAAATCTTATGTCAATGGTGATGCTGGTCAATGATTTTAGAGGCTGTTATAATGATTTTAAATGGTTTGACCATCCAGATCTGTTTACATTGGATATCCAGACAATGCATCTTTTAGTTGTCTAAAAATCAGGACAAAGGTATAAATTAGGCTATAGTTTCAATGAAATGGCTAAGAGCTACAAGTCAACATTTTTATAATAGCATTCTCTTTATTACACTGACAATGTCAAAACTGTAAATTCATCAGAAAGACAAATCCATCCAACATAAGGCAAGATTATAACATTTATAAAACAACTCAAATTTAAAGTTGCATTTTTGGAAATTTAGTGCTGAAATAAAACCAGCAGCACTTTGAATCCCTGGAATAATTATCTTATCACACATACAAGACAAAGACCTCACTACTATACACACATTATTCAAGCATAAGAGCAATGTAAATACTTTTAGAAATATAGATTATCACTATGCCAATATGTAAGGCACATTATTTTGAAAATTGTTAAAATCACAGCTTGTTATAACTACAATGAATGATGACAGAAAACAGCTATAACCAAGTGTCCATGATTAATGTGTCATAGTATTTACTGACATTCTAATACCAAAGTTAAAACCAACATTCGTGGTAACATCCTCACCCAAAAAAAAAAAAGTCACCAGACTTGAAGGACACTTAAACACCAACATAAAACGTCATACAATTCCAGTAAAGCCTTTCAGTGAGGTTGACAGGTCGTGTTTACACAAACTCTGGCTCCCTGGGCGGTAGACTGCGCTTCGCCCCACACAGGCCTAGAGCATGGTTGTTGGACTGATTTACATTGAGCTCAGCCAGGGAGACGCTCAGGTCCGGGAGCTCACTGTCTGGGGGTTCATGGTCCGAGGCATCGGGACCAGGACTCTCCTGGTCTGGATCGGTCTGAGGTAGAGACTGGCTGGAGAGTTTCAGACTATCCTTGCAGCTCAGTTGGTCATCCTTTGTGCTGACCTCGCTCTCCTGTTCGACCAGGCTGTGGGGACAGTGTGTGGACCCCCTCCCAGTCTCATTCAGCTCTGAGTCAGAGTCCACCATCTGCTCACTGGAACCCAGGGAGCCTGGAGAACTGCCTGCATAGAGAAAAAGTGAAGGGATGTAATGAAGTGACACTGGTCAAACTCACCTGGATGAATAGAAGTTATAAAGATGTACTAAAATCAAAAGGCAAAGGTTATTCACAAGTCCATCTAAACATCTTTTACCACAGCCCTCCATCTTGTCAGAGTCTGTTCTGCTCTGTTCCTCATTGGCTTCCTGTTCCTCTCCATCAGCTACCGCATGACTGCTGTTCTCATCTATACCCACACTGACAGTCTACACCAACAGGGAGACACAAAACATTAGTTAAAATAGGGAACTTGAGTTCAAACCATTCACAACTCTGGTATTAGTTGAGCTATTGTGGGTAGGTGAACTGAAAGCATTCACATTCTTCCTGTATGTTTGAAATATTCTTTAACATCTAATTTTGCGGGTCTAAAAAAAAGTATGTACACGCATCCCCTATGGGAAGAAAACAGACACGAAGACAGGCACACACACACACACCTGTTGGGTGGAGAATGGGCAACTGCTGCTGCTGGAGGACTGGAAGATGGCTGTGTAGAAGACTATGAGAGTCTCTATGATGCGGGCCTGGTGGGGGTAGTCCACTAGAGAGGACAGGGACACTGTGGCCCCAGTGGGCCGGGGCCGCATCAGAGAGGGGCCAAACACGATGCCCAGGTTACTGGGACTCATCTTATTGTCCTGTTCTAATTCTGCAATCCTGAGGACAGAGCGGGGACAGGGACAACATGGATAATATGACAGGGAGAGGTTAAAACATGGTAGGGGTGCGAACTTTTGAACGTTAAAATCCTTTACGTTAAGAAAAATCCCTAACTGAAAAAAGATGCAGAACGTAAACAGCATAGTGGGTCAATTTCTGCAACTACTAAGATCGTTGAAGCGCGTACACCACTACGTCATCGTCGTTAACAGTTGGAAAAATGGCAGAGAAAGGCAAGGGACAGCAGCCAAGCCCTGTATGGCAATACTTTTAGAAGTTAAATGAGAAGGAAATGCAAACTTTGCAACGCTTAACCATCTGAAAGGGACGCACAGTGGTGAGACCAATACCGCAGCTGCATTGTGAATTTTTTTAACTAGGCAAGTCAGTTAAGAACAAATTCTTATTCACAATGACGGCCTACCAAAAGGCAAAAGGCCTCCTGCGGGGACGGGGGCTGGGATTAAAACAAATATATATAGGACCAAACACACATCACAACAGGAGAGAGACCTAAGACAACATAGCATGGCAGCAACCCAACATGAAAACAACATGGTAGCAGGCCAAGACATGGTACAAACATTATTGGGCACAGACAACAGCACAAAGGGCAATAAGGTAGAGATAACAATAAATCATGCGAAGCAGCCACAACTGTCAATAATAGTGTCCATGATTGAGTCTTTGAAGAGATGGAGATAAAACTGTCCAGTTTGAGTGTTTTTTTGCAGCTCGTTCCTGTCGCTAGCTGCAGCGAACTGAAAAAAGGAGCGGCCCAGGGATGTGTGTGCTTTGGGGACCATTAACAGAATGTGACTGGCAGAACGGGTGTTGTATGTGGAGGATGAGGGCTGCAGTAGGTATCTCAGATAGGGGGGAGTGAGGCCTAAGAGGGTTTTATAAATAAACATCAACCAGTGGGTCTTGCGACGGATATACAGAGATGACCAGCTTACAGAGGAGTATAGAGTGTTTTAACGAAAACAAGAATAATTTGCTGTTTAAAAGTAACTTTCTCTCTCCATTTGTCACATCCATAATACATGGTCACAATGGTGAATCACGAAGTTGATGATATGTGAAAACCGGTTTTGCTGAACTTAGACTCCATAGTCAAAAATGACCCCTGCGCAACCATGGGGCAAAACAGACAGGGTTGGCTTAGTTTGGAGACGAAATATAGTTTAAACGTCAACAATGTTTATTGAAAACATACATTTTAACAATGAGCATTTGTTGTCTCAAATACATTACATTTACGTCATTTAGCAGACACTCTTAGTTACAATACATTAGTGGTCCTCTGTAGCTCAATTGGTAAAGCATGGCGCTTGTAACGCCAGGGTAGAGGGTTCGATCCTCGGGACCACCCATATGTAAAGATGTATGCACACATGACTGTAAGTCGCTTTGGATAAAAGCGTCTGCTAAATGGCATATTATTACAGTTGTTGGTTACCTAGCGAATTTGAGCCATATTAGCATAGAAATGACATCAGTCAAAACACCTCAAAACAAGACATGGTATCAAGAACAAGATAAAACTAGCTGAAACGAGCCACCTGCGATTCCCCACATGGCAGCTTCTTGTCATTGTTGCTAGCTATCTGGCCATCCAGAACCATAACAACGCACAGCGTTCTACCCCATTGAAGGGCATGCATCGTTTTCGTGACGTTGTCAGCTAACCCATCTATAGATATACTGTTTGGTGATAGTCAGTCAGGAAAAATGAATTCTTATTTAGCAATGTTTGATGCAATGTTCTAGCTCACCTGCGCAGGTGGCGTACGATGTAGCGCAGCGTGGCTATGTTAGCCTTGGGCAGTTCTCTCAGCAGCTCTCGGAGTCTATCCACCACGGCCAGGACTGCTGGGTCAGTGGCTGGCCCCAGGTCCACCAGCTCTGGCCCCTTCCCTGTCCCGGCCTCATTCTGCAGGCTCTCCTTGGCCAGCCCCATCAGGCTGTTGTACAGACTAAACAACATGATGGGCTCCGGAAGCTGGGGAGGAGAGAGGGAGATTTTTTATCTTTGTTTGTAGCCATCTTATCCAAGCATAAGTGCAATTAAATATGAAGGCTGAAACAGACAAGGTGTGTACCTGTCGGAGGTAGAGCTTGAGGACGTTGCTGATGTCGTGGGGGGAACACTGTGAGAGCTCCACTAGTTCCTTGCCGTTCTCAAAGGCTTGACACAGCTTCTCCACACGAGTCTTCACCCCATTTACTCTGTAGATACCCTGCAGAGAGAGTGATGGAGACAAATGGGAAGAGAGAGAAAATGTTAAAGAGAGAAGGACAGAGAGGGAGAAAGAAAATAATGCATTCATACAACCAACCATTATGCTCATTTCAAGCAACAGACCCTCCACACTTCTTTCCTTCATCCCCCATTCCCTCACCTTCATCTTCAGGGCTCGTCTCTCTATCTCGGAGATGCACTTAGTGATGATGAAGGGGATGCCGTCGGAGCTGCCGCTGGACACCTGGGAGAAGTCTCGGCCGAACAGCTGGAGTTTACCCTGCAGCTTTTTATGGCCACACTGGATGGCCAACGTCTCCAAACACCGCTTATGACATGCCAGGAAACACTGGTGTAGAGGTCAAGGGGTTAGAGGTCAGGGTGATAACCAATGAAAGACTTAAGAGATCATTCACACAGAAAAACTGAAGTATGCAGCTGATCTACCAGCCCATTCTATTGCTTTCGCAGCGTAAAAGGTGGCGAAGGAGACAGCATTTTCTCTCACCTCCTCACACTCTGCTCCCTGGAAGTACACGTAGCTGTCGCACTCCCGACACTTCGACGGGGTGCGGAGTTTACGCAGCCGGTGGGTCTGGGCGGCTTTGGAGAGCCCAATGTTCCGGAAAGGTCCGGTTGGAACCGCCATCTCTGGCTCCATGCCATTTATGTCTGCAGAGAAGATTAATGCATTTATCAATTAATCAATGTATTAATTATTGACTGGTTGGCAAACAGAGAGGAGGTGGATCTTAAGTCTCACTTGGTGCTTGGAAGGAGGCCACGTTCCCGTCCTTCTCATCCGGATCTTCATTGGACGACATGGTCCCAGTGGAGGAGGTGCGTGCCATTTTACTGATGTCACCTAAAACATACCAAACTATAACATACACAGCTACAGTACTGCATGAGTTGGCCATATAGAGGGATAGAGAGATAGAGTGCATGCCTTACCTGTACTGGTGGTAGGATATTCCAGGCCAACTTCCCCTCCTACACTGTCTGCATCACTCACTGTAGAACCCCACGATTTGTGGCCTTGTCCTGGGAAAGGGTACACAAGATTATCATGGACAGCACAAACATACAAAACATTAAGGACACCTTCCTAATATTGAGTTGCACCCCCCTCCCCTTTTTTCTTGTCAGAACAGCCTCAATTCGTTGGAGCATGGACTCTACATGGTGTCGAAAGAGTTCCACAGGGATGCTGGCCCATGTTGACTCCAATGCTTCCCACAGTTGTGTCAAGATGGCTGGATGTCCTTTGGATGATGGACCATTCTTGATACACATGGGAAACTGTTGAGCGTGAAAAACCCAGCAGCGTTGCAGTTCTTGACTCAAACCGGTGCGCCAGGCACCTACTAACACACCCTGTTCAAAGGTACTTAAATCTTTTGTCTTGCCCATTCACCCTCTGAATAACACCATTTTGTCTTGCGCTGTAAACCTAGAGCATTGATTTAATGTCTTGCATGGTGAGATGGCACAAGCGAGTAAGAACCGAATAAATATCATAAAAAATTACACACTCTTTCTGGCATTTTCAGCACTGCGGTCCTCGCCAGTCATGGTCTCTCCAGTGCTGGGTTGACCCTCAGAGCTGCTCTGCTGGTCTGTGTTGAAGCTGTCGTTACGGGATCGAGCTGGCTGCCTGAATTAACATATATTATTTATTACTGTGACTTTCATCTGGGTGCAACTATTGGGCAAAACAGACAGGGTTGCCTTAGATTGTTGACAACATGTTAACTATATGTCGTCTCCAATGTTTATTGAAAACAAATACATTTGCACAATGAGCACTTGTTGTCTCTCGAATACATCGTTGTTGGTTAGCTATCTAGTGAATTTTTGCCATATTAGAATAGAAGTGACATCAGTCAAAACAAGACATGGTATCAAGAACAAGATGGAACTAGCTGAAACAAGCCACCTACGATTCCCCACATGGCAGCTTCTTGTGATTTTTGCTAGCTATCTGACCATTCAGAATAACAACACACAGACTTCTGCCCCCATTGAAGCGTGCACGTCGTTTTCGTGACGTTGTCAGCTAACCCATCTATAGGCACCTAACAAATCAAATGCTTTTTATAATGCTTTGAGGCAAGTGGTGACTCACAGTGTGGAGGCTGCAGTGGCGGTGTATGGCTCAAACTGGTAGGTGACCTCTGGTTCCTTAGAGAGCTGCAGGTCTCGGACGTGGGCAGCGTACTGCTGTCCTGGGTCATACAGCTTACTGCTCTCACACAGAGTCTGGTAGTGGACCGGCAACGCCACTGTCTGCATGTGCATTATCTGGTAGTACGAGATGGTAGCCTGGAGGGAAGGAGAGGAATAGAACGGAAGTCAGGTGTGTGTGTGTGTGTGAGAGAGAGAGGTGGAGGCAAAGACTTTCCGAGAAAACAATAGGTCTGAGTGTATGTGTGTTGTGGAGGGGACTGATGGTCTGTCTGTGTGTGTGTGTTGTGGTGGGGACTGTATGAGCAGTGTATATGGCAGTCTTTGGTTGCATTGATCAATAATTTCAGTCCAGGGTCTATACGTGTGTGTGCGTGGTAGTATACTGACCGAGCGCAGGGTCTGGTCACTCTGTCTGATGACCTCCTGCAGAAGTCGGAGCACGTTGACCTTCACGTGTTCCAGCTCCTGCTGCTGGGTGGTGGCGTCTGCTACACATGTCCTGTAAGTGGCCTCTGCCTCCTCAGCCTGAACACACACACACGCTGGTCAATTCTCAGCCAGGCTAATGGCATACATACTCATTGAAAAATGGCCATAGGCTTTGACAATGACTTGCAGTCAGAGACAGGACACTAGATAGCTTTTTAGGAGATTTCACTGGAGAGGGAGAGAAGATGCGAGATATGGAGAGGAGAGAGGCGAGATGAGTAGAAGAGAGGAGAGAATACATTATATATGGTGATGGAGACCTTGTTGCGAGCCTCTTCTTCCACTCGTAACTTCTTGCCCAGAGACTTGGTGGTGGAGCCTCCTCCCTCCCCCTCTGCTGCTCTGCTAGCGGCTGCCTTGTCGTGCTCCTCACAGCGAGCCAGGTAGGCATGCTTGGCCTTGCGCAGGTTTGACTCACATTCCAGCTGGATCACAAACACACAGGTACACACAGAATCAGTCTTCAGTTACACAAATTGGGAAAGCTCGAGAGAAAAAACAAAGATAAGGGTATTCTTAAAAATACTTTTTGTGGACGTATTGTCAAATAATGTTAAGTATCAATAGTACAGAATTAATTCCTGTAAACATCATGGCAATATGAGACAAATAATCAAAATAGGAGAGACAACATATTACATAAATAGCACTAGCAAGGAACGGACCAGTTTCCTCTTGGCTCGGTGCCACTGTTCCTTGACCTCCTTGCGTTTCTTCTCATGCTCGTGTTTACGCTGCATCAGAGGCTGTAGGAAGGTCTGGCTGTGCAGTGTGGAGGTGGCCTGCTGCACGCCACTGCTCTGCTCCAAGTCCTGCTCCAGAGCCAGAGAGTAGATGGAGTAGAATGGCATGTGGGGCTGAGAGATAGGTAGAGGGTGTGGTGAGAGGGACAAGATCATTGTCGTTACAGGAGCCTCTTGAAATGGATGGAATCATTTTGACGAGAGTGAATTAGGTTTTCCTTTCCTTCTATTATAAAAGACAAAACCACAAGGCTTACATGTGTGATGCTGTGCTTGCTGGACTGGTACAGTCTTTGTAAGCCCTTGGCAAACTCCACCTCTGGATGGGGGAAGATATGGGTGAATCAACTTAATATGTTTAAATGAAAGGTATAAGAATCAACCTAAATGTCCACTATTATCTGTGGGGACTGTCTGCGGTGTCTGTGTGCCCACCCAGTAAGATCTTCTTCTCCACGTAGCTCATCAGGTCCTTCATGTATTTAGAGATGGTCTTTGCGTATGCCAAAGCAGAGTCCACTCCCCCTTCACTACGCTGCAGCATGATGTCCACCTCCTCAGCCCGGCCAAAGTCCTGAAGGTCACCCCTCATCTGAGCTCCCTCTGGCCCCTGACCTGACGCCCCGTACAGGTCCTCCATAGACTGGACATACAGAGAGAGGGAGACAGTTTAGACCACTCATGAATACTGATTCTGGGGGATATTAACATTACACACTAAATGACCAGTTCATGCCATTGCAAATGGCCAACTACATAGAAAACATTTCTGGCACTACACAAAATCATTTGGCAGGACACTTTACCAGAGCCAATAGAAACAATGATGCAATAGAGCGATGCCAAATGGTATCTCATGGATGGGGATGTGCAATTGAATGATGGCTGTTCCACTGTAAATGGAAGTATATAGCATTTGGCACATAGACTGTGGGCAATAATAAGCCCAGTGTGTGTGCAGGCCTGATGAATTCAGTGTGGGAGCTGCATTGATGAATGAGGTGGAAGGAGCTGTGTTATCTGGAGTGTTAGAGGCGGCCTGTGTTTTTGTGTGTGTGGCCATAACAGGAGACAGTGAAGAAAAGGCAGAGATAAAGACACTGTCACTGGCAGGAAGCTGGCCTTGCTGCCCCCGTGCCACACAAACATCCGTTCTGAGACTGTCACACACACACACCAAGAAAGCCACATTAACTCCCACTCACCCTGCTCTTCTGTGTTGGCAGCAGGGACAGTAGGGTACTGCTGTCCACCTCCCCCATCAGCAGCTCTGACACACTGAGGAGGACAGAGGCAGAGAGACCATTACACAGAGACAGAAAGTACTAATATGAGGGACAAATTGGAGATCAAATGTGGAGGGTACATTTCTGGTTCTTTCACCCGCCGATGGTCATGGAAAGGAAACAAGGAAAGGAGAGCATCAGGAAACCGTTCATGCCAGGCTCCAGGCTCTGTGCAATCGCACCACCATTTAACTTCCTTTTTGTGTATTCTTTGCCCTGTTGCTGCTATTTGTTGTACTGTAGAGGGCCAGGGTGTGAACAAACACTATTTTGTAAATCAAATCAAATTTTAATTGGTCACCTACACGTGTTTAGCAGATGTTATTGCGAATGTAGCTAAATGCTTGTGCTTCTAGCTCCGACAGTGCAGTAATATCTAACAAGTAATACACACAAATCTAAGTAAGGAATGAATTAAGAATATATACATTTATGGATGAGCGATGTCAGAGCGGCATGGACTAAGATACCGTAGAATTGTATAAAATACAGTAAATACATATGAGATGAGTAATGCAAGATATGTAAACATTATTAAAGTGGCTAGTGTTCCATTTCTTAAAGTTGCCAGTGATTTGTAGTCTATGTCTATAGGCAGCAGCCTCTAATGTCTTAGTGATGGCTGTTTAACAGTCTGATGGCCTTGAGAAAGAAGCTGTTTTTCAGTCTCTCGGTCCCAGATTTGATGCACCTGTCCTGACCTCACAACTTATAGACCTATGTGCAATATACTGTACACATCACAGCACGTTTTAGCTGTAAATGTAGCATTTTTGATTTTGAGAGTGATATGAGAATAGAAGCACCTATTCCTGGTCTGTAAATAATAATCTGTTGAGACAACAGAAGCCAAATGGCTGCGATTTGGTTTCGTGTCCTTGGTTACGGAAGAGAAGAAAACCACGACTACATTTCCTGTTTTCTACTGAGCCCCATGCAAATGTGTCACTGCGTTTCTCTCTAAGCTCCACTTCACTCTCACACACACTGAACTTCTACAGTCATCATCACACATACCCCCACTGACCTGACCACTGAGGACACCACATGTGGTCATGTCCCATTACTCTGTACCAGAGAATAGTGTTGTTGCATCTCAAGTGGTAAACAGTAAAATAATTGTGGCATACAGAGAAACACCTATGGCTTATTTTAGGAACCATGAATATTGTTACTAGTGCATGGCAATATATACAGAGAAACGGGTGTACCATATACTTACTTGCTACTAAAAGCAACTGCAATGGTCTCAATGGCCTTCTCAAAGTCCTTCTTTTCTGTGTCATTACACGTCTCAAAGTGAAATCCTGCAATCAAAATAATGAATGTGTTCATTCTAGCCCATCTCGGCAATTTTAAAACTCATTGACTTATTTTGTGCTAAAAAGATTGACCTTTTGACCCTAGGTAGTAGACCACTGTCTGGTCCAGCCAGAAGTCTCACCTTTGACCTTAGATATGAGTTTGCCTGTAGCAGTGAGAGTCTCCACGGTGTTGAGGAGGGGGTAGGTGCTGATGACCTGTCGTAGGACCCTCAGGACCTCCCCCAGGCACTCATGGGCCAGAGGGCGACGGTTCTCCTGCTTGTCTACAGACAGACAGAGGACAGTCAGAGACACAGACAGGAGAGACATGGATCCTATGCCATTCACCTGTCGACAGCCACACACAGAGAGGATTGAGCCTAACCTACCTGTTTGTATATCTATCGAGCACTAGTTACAACCCGAAGTGATAGGGTTGATGTCAGGGAGATAAGGCTGTCTGAGGTCTGTGACGGGGCTCACCATCACAACATGGAATCCATATAACATGGGGATTTTCTTTACAGACTGACTCTTAAGGTTGGTCACAGTATTAGAGGTTATCAGAGATTGAGAGGGAGTGATTAATGACCAATGTCTGGACATCATGAATAGTAACACGGACAGCTTAAAGACAGATGGGTAGCAGGGACAGTCAGATCTGCTTTGATGTCAGCAGTGACACACCTGCGGCCCACTTCCTCTCGTCTCCCTCTCACAGACCGACCTCTTTCCCCTCCATCTCCATGTCTGTCCATCAGTGGCTGGCCCATTGAATGGAGCCAGGAGGCCAGAGCGGGTGGGATTGAGGGTAGGTCACAAGGAGGATGGTGATGGCACCAATACGCTTACTGTACTAGCTAAATTAACATCCTGTTGTAACATTATGTGACTGGGGGTGAAGACATATGTAGATTTAGTTCCTGGGTAATCTCATATCAAATACAGTGCCTTCAGAAAGTATTCACACCCCTTGGACTTTTTCCACATTTTGTTGAGTTATAAAAGTGGGATTAAAATTGATGTCATTTTTTGCAACGATCTACACAAAATACTCTGTAGTGTCAAAGTAGAAGAAACATTTTATTTAATGGACAATATAACACCTACACTAAAATGCCCAAAAGTATGTGGACACCTGCTTGTCGAACATCTCATTCCAAAATCAAGGGCATTAATATGGAGTCCCTCCTTTGCTGCTATAACAGCCTCCACTCTTCTGGGAAGGCTTTCCACTAGATGTTGGAACATTGCTGTGGGGACTTGCTTCCATTCAGCCACAAGAGCATTAGTGAGGTCGGGCACTGATGTTGGGCGATTAGGCCTGGCTCGCAGTCGGCGTTCCAATTCATCCCAAAGGTGTTCGATGGGGTTGAGGTCAGGGCTCTGTGCAGGCCAGTCAAGTTCTTCCACAACAATCTCGACAAACCATTTCTGTATGGACCTCGCTTTGTGCCTTCCCCAAACTGTTGCCACAAAGTTGGAAGCACAGAATCATCTAGAAGGTCATTGTATGCTGTAGTGTTAAGATTTCCCTTCACTGGAACTAAGGGGCCTAGCCCAAACCCTGAATCTGTGCTTGAAATTCACTGCTCGACTTAGGAACCTTACAGATAATTGTATGTGTGCGGTACAAAGATGATGGTAGTCATTCAAAAATCATGTTAAACCCTATTATTGCACACAGAGTCCATGCAACTTATTACGTGATTTGCTAAGCACATTTTTACTCCTGAACGTTTTTAGGCTCGCCATAACAAAGAGGTTGAGTACTTAATGACTCAAGACATTTCAGCTTTTCATTTTTTATTAATTTGTAAACATTTCTAAAAACATAATTCCGCTTTGTGTGTAGATCAGTGTCACAAAATCCATTTTAAAATCTGGCTGTAACACAACAAAATGAGGAGAAAGTCAAGGGGTGTGAATATACATATATATTTATTTATTTTAATCTGAAGGCACTGTATATTTTGGTAGTAAATGAAATATTTGCTAAACACTTCAAATGCAAGAGTCAACTGAAATACTGATGTTTAGTCTCTGTGTTTTGTCAGAACTGAACTCGGAGAGAAGTTAGGAACCTGAGGGATCCTGTAATTTCCGATATCATGTGATAGTTTCAGACGGGGAGATTAACCTCAGACCATCACAAGGCTAGGCTGGAAACAGTACTGTAGTATTGCCGGTGTCAGAGGTCAGACTGAAGCAGTGGACTGTGTGAGGAGGAAGTCTGAACGAGGTCTCTCTGTCAAATGCCATCCATCATAGCTTCCTGTTTATATTCCTACAACAGTCACAGGGTAGGTGGGTTTACAATAAGATAAGGTGGAGACACCCTAAACCTTCCTTGGCTTTGAGAGCAAAAAACCCATGTTCCAAAGTGAGACCATTTTTGTTGCTCTCAAGTCGTTGAAGTTGAAAATTGTTCAGTCGCTTATGTTGCACTTCTTGTATCTTATTGCATCAATAAAATAGGACACATTTTCAGCCTGTCTCCTGAGAATGGAAAAACCCTTTCTCTACGGTAACTATAATGGTTTTTGGGCCCAACTCTCTGAAGTCGTTGTAGCTGGAAAAACCTTTTCTCCAGCTATTTTGCTTGAGTGCAGACAGTGGAGTCAACATGTCAGAAACTGCAGTGCAGTCGCTGCTGTTACGCTGAGTGTGTGTGTGTGAGAGAGAGAGAGAGAGAGAGAGAGAAAAAAAAAAGAGAGAGAGAAAGAGCTCTGGGTTGTGCAAAGCTAGCCCCGCCATTCCCCTCGCCCCTCCCACATGCAACACGTGGTGAGCAGGAGGGGAGGATTGTTCTGAGTGCATGCTAACGTGTGGCGCATCTTGAAGAGAGTAGTGGAGAATTCAGACATCCACACAGAGACAATAAGAAACAATAGCAGATGGTCACGATGCAACATAAAGCACGCCCAATGACAAAGGCATATCAATCATGTGCACACTGAAATACACTATATATACACACACAAGTATGTGGACACCCCTTCAAATGAGTGGATTCGGCTATTTGAGCCGCACTTGTATAAAATCGAGCACACAGCCATGCAATCTCCATGGACAAACATTGTCAGTACAATGGCCTTTCTGAAGAGCTCAGTGACTTTCAATGTGGCACCGTCATAGGATGCCACCTTTCCAACAAGTCTGTTCGTCAAATGTCTGCCCTGCTAGAGCTGCCCCATCAAATGTTAGTGCTGTTATTGTGAAGCGGAAACGTCTAGGAGCAACAACGGCTCAGCCGCGAAGTGGTAGGCCACACAAGCTCACAGAATGGGACCGCCGAGTGCTGAAACGCGTAGCTCCTAAAAATCGTCTGTCCTCGGTTGCAACACTCACTACAGAGTTCCAAACTGCCTCTGGAAGCAACGTCAGCACAAGAGCTGTTCGTCAGGAGCTTCATGAAATGGGTTTCCATGGCCAGAAGCAACACACAAGCCTAAGATCACCATGCGCAATGCCAAGCATCAGCTGGAGTGGTGTAAAGCTTGCCGCCATTGGACTCTGGAGCAGTGGAAACGTTTTCTCTGGAGTGCTGAATCACGCTTCACCATCTAGCAGTCTGACGGACGAATCTGTGTTTGGCGGATGCCAGGAGAACGCTACATGCCCCAATGTGTAGTGCCAACTGTAAAGTTTAGTGGAGGAGGAATAATGGTCTGGGGCTGTTTTTCAGGGTTTGGTCTAGGCCCCTTAGTTCCAGTGAAGGGAAATCTTAACGCTACAGCATACAATTACATTCTAGACGATTCTGTGCTTCCAACTTTGTAGCAACAGTTTGGGGAAGGCCCTTTCCTGTTTCAGCATGACAATGCCCCCGTGAACAAAGCAAGGTCCATACAGAAATAGTTTGTCGAGATCGGTGTGGAAGAACTTGAATGGCCTGCACAGAGCCCTGACCTCAACCACATCGAACACCTTTGGGATGAATTGGACCGCCAACTGCGAGCCAGGCCTAATCGCCCAACGTCAGTGCCCAACCTCACTAATGCTTTTGTGGCTGAATGGAAGCAAGTCCCCGCAGCAATGTCCCAACATCTAATGGAAAGCCTTCCCAGAAGAGTAGAGGCTGTTATAGCAGCAAAGGGGGGGACCAACTCCATATTAATGTCGATGATTTTGGAATGAGATGTTCAGGTGTCCACATACTTTTGGTCATGTAGTGCATCTTATTCCAGTTCTCTGAAGATAAGTTGTCCCATCTACAAGCTTGTATGCCTGTCTAACTGTCTTATAGGAGCCAAATGAAAATCAAGACTCCACAGACTGAGCATTGCTGTTGGTTAACTGTACTTTGAAAATGCACCCCCCTGCCCCCTTTTCCAATCTAAAATGCTTTAAGCATTAGAGAACATGGCCTTTGTGTCCTCTACCTCTCTCAGAGCGAAACCTTAGCCAGACAAAGGAGAAGTGCACAAACCTATGTGAACCTATATCCACTCACCTTCCCCCAATACAACATCCTTCAGCTTCTCCACAGCCTCAGCGAAGTGGGCCACATCCCTCAGCAGAGAGGGGATGTCCTCCACCTCAATGGCTGTGCTCTCTAGGCTGTCCTGGGGGGTGACAGGCCCCTTACCCTGGGCCTTGGTGAACACCCAGGAGTGGATAGGGAAGCCTGCAGCGCTGGCATGACGGCTGAGGCCGGTGGGCCTCTTCATGGTAGCCCCCGGGGACGGGCAGCCCCCCCCAACCAGCTTGCTGTGTTGGGCATTGGGGGTGCAAGGGCAGGACACAGAGGAATCCAGCAGGGCACCAGGGGTAGGAGTGAGGAGGGTGGAGGAAGAGGAGGTGGAGGAAGGGGTGGTGTCGAAAGCATCATGACGAGGCTGCTCCTGGAGAATGGACAACTGGGTGAGAGAGAGGAAGGGGGAGAGGAAAGGGAGAAGGATGTGACATCTGTGGTGACATGATGATTTATACCAAAACGTCAGGACAATGACGACTTATTTTTGGCCAGTGGTTTGGCAGACTTGTTGGTAAACTGGCGAACTGAGATTTTCATAAGATCCTGTGATGTGTAACACTTCCTGACTCAGCTTCTTGCCACACCCTGAAACAGCTCTCCAAAAAGAGAAACTCTGGCTACTTTGAGCAATATCAATTTATACGGTTTGATGAGACATGACAGAAAAGTAATGAAATCAACCCATCAAGTGTCCCAACTTGTCCATGGACTACAGCACACTTAAATTACAGAGCTCATGAAATAATGGCTAAATAAAAGACAGTATACATCAAAGTGCATGGTGTGGTTATGAAAGAGAAAATGACAACAGCTTCACACCTTGCCAGTGGGAAGCACCCTCAGGACTACTAGAGCAGGTGCTTGACATTGTTTCAGTAACACCTTTTATAGGTACTCTATTTTAAACTGTAGTGTAGGATCCTGTATGAAATAATATGAATATGGAAAAATAGTATTTGAAGCACAGAAGTTTGAGAAGTATAAATAATACCACTCATTCTGAAAAATGTATGGAGTTTATTTAAACCTAGGTGTATAACAGATTAAATTGTTTGTCCTTGACCTACCTGTTTGAGCCAGACATTGGGTCTATTTGGTAGTATTTCCAATTTGTTCTTGGCTTTAGCCTCCGCTTTCTTTATTCTCTGACCCGTGGAGTATGGGTTATAGCTGTTTCTGCCACCACGTTTCAGCATGGTCTATGTCCCTATTGTTTTACCAGCATCTTTAGCAGAAGCCACTTGTGAAACTTGACTGATCATGCAAGAGAGACCAACCTGTACTGGCTTACTAACCCACTAAAACATTTTCAAATGAGTGTTTTCAAAATGAGTCATTCTGCAAAAAACTATCATTTATCAATATGCCTATTATTAAGTCTTTGCATACTACATTACCTTAAATATTCAACCAAATAATATTTCAGTAGTGTCTAAGCTACTTTAAATTACTTAATAATGGTGTCCATATAAATCAGCTATAACTGCTCATCTTTCAGCCTTTAAAATACCGCACTAAACCGGTCATTGCTGGTCCATAATAGTGAAGTCTATTTAATTAAGGTCTAATCTAGCCTACTGAAACTTGACCTCTGTCATTCTGTCCCCTAGTTCCCTTCTCGGCAGCAGACAGACAGTAACTGAGCAGGAACTATGTCTGAGTGACAGGAGGAAATCATAGATGATGTGCTACTTAGTACTTACTGATGAACTCTGTGGCCCCGGGCTTCCTGCTCGACTCTTCTTCGAGATGGAAGGGGTTTTGATCAATTCCCTTTTCTTTCGGGAGAACATCTTCAATGTACCTTTGCCGTCCACCCCGATTTCTTTGAGTTTCACATACAACCCCCCCACCCACCCCCCGACTCTGCACTTCTTTGGTGCTCTGCCAATTACGGGCGCTACTCTTCCATCCGTTCCAACCTTCAGCCACGTTTGCTGCTGCCTCGCTCCTTTCCCCTTGTAAAACATTGAGCGCGCAAGCTCACTGAACAGCTCACCACAAAAACTAAATGGGGCTGCCGCATCCGCTGTTTTTTTTTTCTCAAGGCAAGAAAAGCGCATGTGATGTGACGCTCTCCATTTGATTGGGACTCTTGAGGTTTGTCATCCACCGTCTATCCAAAAATGTACAAAGCATTTCTATAGTAAACCAGGAGAGTACAACATATTTTAACTAACGCCAGAAAATGCCTCACTGTCCACTACTGGCAGAGAGGTCTAGCAGGAGTCCTGCTGGGAAAAGCTTTCCTGCTCGTCACAATAATCAAGTAACACCTGTGTGTTAGTCATGTGATTAGCTATTTTGAACGCCCACTTTACCTGTGCGCTGACGCCCACCACCAGCTGGCTAAAATGACATCCATATGGACCCTTGGACGCTTTCCAGCGGATCCCTTTTGTCAAGTCCTTGACCATCGTCAGAGATTCTGGCCGTGTTGGAGTGGATCAAAACCGCAATGTATCATGGGTAAATTGTGAGGGTGCCCATGTTTACAGATTTAGGGTTGTACCTGGTAGATTCCTTGATAATTTGTGTGAGATTGAGGGCATGTAGTTTAGATTGTAGGATGGCCGGGGTGTTAAGCATATCCCAGTTTAGGTCACCAAGCAGTACGAACTCTGAGGATAGATGGGGGGCAAGCAATTCACATATGGTGTCCAGGGCACAACTGGGGGCTGATGGGGGTCTGTAGCAAGCGGCAACAGTGAGAGACTTATTTCTGGAAAGGTGGATTTTTAGAAGTAGAAGCTCAAACTGTTTTGGCACGGACCTGGATAGTATGATAGAGCTCTGCAGGCTATCTCTACAGTAGATTGCAACTCCGCCCCCTTTGGCAGTTCTATCTAGATGGAAAATGTTGTAGTTCGGGATGGACATTTCTGAATTTTTGGTGGCCTTCCTAAGCCAGGATTCAGACACTGCTAGAGCATCAGGTTGGCAGAGTGTGCTAACGCAGTGAATAACTCAAACTTGGGGAGGAGGCTTCTGATGTTAACATGCAAGAAACCAAGGCTTTTACGGTTACAGACATCAACAAATTATAGCGCCTGGGGAGTAGGAGTGATACTGGGGGCTACAGGGCCTGGGTTAACCTCTCCATCACCAGAGGAACAGAGGAGGAATAGAATAAGGATACGGCTAAAGGCTTTAAGAACTGGTCTTCTAGTGTGTTGGGTACAGAGAATAAAAGGGGCAGATTTCCGGGTGTTGTAGAATAGATTCAGGGCATTATGTACAGACAAGGATATGGAAGGATATGAGTTCAGTGAAGGTACACCTAAGCATTGGGTAACGATGAAAGAGATAGCATCACTGGAGGTACCGATTGAGCCGGTCTCCGCGTGTATGGGGGGTGGGACAAAGGAAAATGTCTTTATCAACTTCATCCTGCAGTCAGTACCTGCATTGTGGGAGGCTCTATTGTCAACCATTCATTCAGGTGATTTTGTTGGACCCACGCGAACGTGACCAAAGACATGACTGCAACAGGAACTAACTTTGCTGTGATTCATGTATGCAGCTCTCTCACCAATTGATAGGAGGTCTTTACACAGGCAGCCCAATTCTGATGATTTTTTTCCCTCATAAATTGGTATTTTGACCCATCAGATCAGCTCTTAAAAAGTACTGATGTGAAAAGAGCTGATGTGATTGGTCAAAATACCAATTAGTGGAAAAAATATAAGAATTGGGCTGCCTGTCTAAACGCAGCCAATGTAGCCTACAATGTACACATGCATACAGCGCCTTCGGAAGTATTCAGACCCCTGGACTTTTTCCACATTTTTTTACGTTACAGCCTTATTCTAAAATTTATTAAATAAAACAATTTCCACACAATACATTTTTTCACATTTATTACAAATATAAAACAGAAATACCTTACTTACATAAGTATTCAGACCCTTTGCTATGAGACTCTAAAATTGAGCTCAGTTGCATGCTGTTTCCATTGATCTTGATCATCCTTGAGATGTTTCTACAACTTGGAGTCCACCTGTGGTAAATTAATTTGATTGGACATGATTTGGAAAGGCACACACCTGTCTATATAAGGTCCCACAGTTGACAGTGCATGTCAGCGCAAAATCCAAGCCATGAGGTCGAAGGAATTGTCCGTAGAGCTCCGAGACAGGATTGTGTCGAGGCACAGATCTGGGGAAGGGTACCAAAAAATGTCTGCAGCATTGAAAGTCCCCAAGAACACAGTAGCCTCCATCATTCTTGTCATGAGGTGAGGTGTATGTGTGGTGGAAGTCAGGCGCAGGACACCGAGGCTCAGTCCAACAGAGTTTACTCAAAAATTCCAAAAGGAAACGGTAAACAAACGACCTCCAAACATAAGAGGCGAGCATTTACGCAAAAAGCGTAAAACACTAGAAAACAAAACAAGAAACAAAACACGCAGCACAAAGACAGGCGAACAACAACACACAATCCTACCAAGCAAAAAGACGGAACTTATAGGACAGGTGATGAATACACAATAGGACACAGGTGTGACAGACAGACAAAAGCAATCACACACAGAAACATAGATCAGTGGCAGCTAGTACTCCGGGGACGGCGACCGCCGACGCCTGCTCGTACCAGGAGGGGGAGCAGCCTCGGCAGAATCCGTGACAGTACCCCCCCCTTGACGCGCGGCTCCAGCCGTGCGCCGACCCCGGCCTCGGGGACGGCCAGGAGGACGCGGACCCGGGCGCGTGGGATGCCCACGGTGGAAATCAGTCAGGAGGGATGGATCGAGGATGTCCCTCCTGGGCACCCAGCACCGTTCCTCCGGACCGTACCCCTCCCACTCCACGAGATACTGGAGACCACTCATCCGGCGCCTCGAGTCCAAGATGGTCCGGACTCTATACGCCGGGGCCCCCTCGATGTCCAAAGGGGGCGGAGGGGTCTCTCCTATCTCATTATCCTGGAGTGGACCAGCTACCACCGGCCTGAGAAGAGACACATGGAACGAGGGGTTAATATTTTTGTACTCTATAGGCAGTTGTAACCTGTAACACACCTCGTTCAACCTTCTCAGGACTTTAAAGGGCCCCACAAACCGCCGACCCAGCTTCCGGCAGGGCAGGCGGAGGGGCAGGTTTCGAGTCGAGAGCCAGACTCGATCTCCCGGTGCGTACACCGGCCCCTCACTGCGGTGGCGATCGGCGCTCGCCTTTTGTTGACGGATGGCACGCTGCAGATGGACATGGGCAGCGTCCCACGTCTCCTCCGAGCGCCGAATCCACTCGTCCACCGCAGGGGCCTCGGTCTGGCTCTCGTGCCACGGTGCCAGGACCGGCTGATACCCTAAAATACACTGGAAAGGTGTTAATCCGGTGGAGGAGTGGCGGAGAGAGTTCTGGGCCATCTCTGCCCAGGGGATATACCTCGACCACTCCTCCGGCCGGTCCCGGCAATAGGACCTCAAAAACCTACCCACATCCTGGTTCACACGTTCAACCTGCCCATTGCTCTCTGGGTGGTACCCCGAGGTAAGGCTAACCGAGACCCCCAGGCGTTCCATGAAAGCCCCCCAGACTCTGGAGGTGAACTGGGGACCTCGGTCGGACACAATATCCTCGGGGACCCCATAGTGCCGGAACACGTGGGTAAAGAGGGCCTCGGCGGTCTGTAGGGCAGTAGGGAGACCCGGCAGTGGGAGGAGACGACAGGCCTTAGAAAACCGATCCACAACGACCAAAATGGTGGTATTACCCTGGGAAGGGGGTAGATCGGTCACAAAATCTACCGAGAGGTGGGACCATGGTCGTTGTGGAACGGGCAGAGGATGTAACTTACCTCTGGGCAAATGTCTAGGTGCCTTACACTGGGCACATACCGAGCAGGAGGAGACATAAACCCTCACATCCCTGGCTAACGTTGGCCACCAGTATTTTACGCTAAGGCAGTGCACCGTCCGACCAATACCAGGATGTCCAGAGGAGGGTGATGTATGAGCCCAAGAAATAAGCCGATCACGAACCTCGAGCGGAACGTACGTCCGCCCCACAGGACACTCGGGGGGAGTAGGGTCGGTACGCCGCGCCCGCTCGATTTCCGCATCGACCTCCCATACTACCGGAGCCACCAGACAAGACTCCGGCAGTATGGAAATAGGCTCAATGGACCTCTCCTCTGTGTCATACTGCCGGGACAGGGCGTCTGCCTTACCGTTCTGGGACCCAGGGATGTAGGTGATCTTAAAAACAAACCGGGTCAGGAACATGTTCCACCTAGCCTGACGAGGGTTCAATCTCCTAGCTGCCCGGATGTACTCCAGGTTACGGTGATCAGTCAGAATGAGGAAAGGGTGTTGAGCCCCCTCAAGCCAATGCCTCCACACCTTTAGGGCCTGGACTACAGCTAACAGCTCCCTGTCCCCAACGTCATAATTGCGCTCCGCCGAGCTGAGCTTCTTAGAGTAGAATGCACAGGGGCGGAGCTTAGGTGGCGTGCCGGACCGTTGTGACAGGACTGCCCCAATACCGGTCTCGGACGCGTCCACCTCTACTTGGAAAGGCAAAGAGGGATCCGGATGCGCCAGCACCGGGGCCGAGGCGAACAGGTTCTTCAGCTTGACAAATGCCCTGTCCGCCTCAGCTGACCACTGCAAGCGCACCGGACCCCCCTTTAGCAGGGACGTAATGGGAACTGCAACCTGTCCAAAGCCCCGGATAAACCTCCGGTAGTAATTAGCAAAACCCAAGAACCGCTGCACCTCTTTTACGGTGGTTGGAGTTTGCCAATTACGCACAGCCGATACCCGATCTACCTCTATCTCCACGCCAGACGC